AAAAAAAAAAAAAAAAAAAAAAAAAAAAAAAAAAAAATCCATTGCTTTAGTTTACATTCTGAATCTTTTACCTATGCACTACTTTATAACATCATGCACTGGTTATTTGAAAAATATTGGTTCACTGGATTATACAGGTCTTCCAAGTGTAGATACGTTGTGTGATACAATATTTTAAAAATTACATTTTCTACCTATTCAAGATTTCAAGGGACTTCCCTGGTGACGCAGTGGTTAAGAATCCGCCTGCCAATGCAGGGGACATGGGTTTGAGCCCTGGTCCCGGAAGATCCCACATGCTCAGAGCAACTAAGCCATGCGCCACAACTACTGAGCCTGCGCTCTAGAGCCCGCGAGCCACAACTACTGAAGCCCATGCGCCTAGAGCACATGCTCAGCAACAGGAGAAGCCACAGCAATGAGAAGCCCGTGCACCACAATGAAGAGCAGCCCTCGCTCACTGAAACTAGAGAGAGCCCGCACGCAGCAACGAAGACCCAACACAGCCATAAATAAATAAATAAACGATTAAAAAAAAAAGATTTCAAAAATTCTAATTTTTGCTTGAAAACTCAAATGTTATCATATGGCAACAAATGTTATCATTTGTTGTGGTTCTTCTTGAACCAACAGGCCCACTTCTTTCATTTTTTGAGAAAATGTCTGCCAAATATTCAAGTCTGAATTGTCATAGTCTCTCTATCAATTGTTCTTTCAAGAGTGGTTCTCATGAAAAAAGAGGCTAGTTCAGCTTGAGGATGAAACAATTGTAGAAATACTTTACTCATGTTTACCATTTGCCAAACAGAATATGAAATGAAGATGTGTACTCAAGAGTCAAGATTTTTTGTTTTTGGGCCGTGCCACGTGGCATGTGGGATCTTAGTTCCTTGACCAGGGATTGAACCCACGTTCCCTGCAGTGGAAGCGTGGAGTCTTAACCACGGGACCACCAGGGAAATCCCAAGAGTCAAGATTTAAAACATTAATTTTTACTGCTTCAAGAACATTATTAAGAGACCCTATGTTTTTTTTTTTTTTTTTTTGTGATATGTGGGCCTCTCACTGTTGTGGCCTCCCCCGTTGTGGAGCACAGGCTCCGGACACGCAGGCTCAGTGGCCATGGCTCACGGGCCCAGCCACTCTGTGGCATGTGGGATCTTCCCAGACCGGGGCACGAACCCGTGTCCCCTGCATCGGCAGGCGGACTCTCAACCACTGCGCCACCAGGGAAGCCCAAGAGACCCTGTGTTTTTAAAATGCAAGTGCTAGTGACTACTAGCACAGTCTGGTGATGCTGCCTTGATGTATGCTAAGGTAACAGCAGCTTCACCAGTCATTGCTTTTGCACCATCAGTCCAAATGTCAACAGAGTGAAAAGGCAAATAATGTGTTAGTATTTTTATGAGAAGAGCTTTAACGTCTCAGACCACCAAAAAGGTCTTGGAAACTCCCAGGCATCCCTGACCCACAATGCTATATACTACACTAATCCCCTTACAGGAAAATAAGTTTGAGAATACATCAGGATAAGCAAATTACCTTAGTCTTGCAATCTATTAGTAAGAATTAAAATGTATTTTTAAAAAGAAAAGAAAGAAAAAGGTTATAAAAATTATGGAAATAAGGCTAATAAAAAATGTAGACAAAGTGTGAATAAACCACATTATACTTTTAAGTAGTCTACTTCTGCCCTGATTTTACAAGGAAACAGGTGCAAGTAATTTAACAAATATTATGACAAAATTTCTACAGAATCAACATTATCTGACACCCAAATGGAGTTTCTTACTGAATAAATGAAAAATAAATGGTTTGATAAATGAATGGATTAATTCCAGGATATAAAAATAAACCATTTCTTAGATAATCTGAAATTACTAACTATATGTATTAAGCTCTCACTGTCACAGGAGCTACAAAGGAAGGAAATTCATCCACTTAAATGTTGAAGGTTTATTCCTCCCATTTGACGCAATCTCTCTCTCAAGTGGAAAAAAACTCAAACTGCCTCTCGGTGGACTTATGCAGCTGACACACAACTAAACAATGTAGATCTATCAAAGAATTTAAAAACATACTGCTTACATTTTCATACACAAACATATAGTGTTATTAAAAGCATAGCTAAAATTAAATCATATTTAAATAAATCATATTTACACCCTTCTTGGGCAGTTGTGAGTAGCCTCCGTAACTCAATCAACCTAACTGATGACCTTACAAACTCTGAATATTAACCCTGACAAAAACATAATGGGACCAAAGGGTGTGTTAAAGAAAGCACGAGTTATGCATGTGAGTCGGTCACCCAGACCCAAGGTCCAGTGCTAGTCTGTTTCAAGTTTTCCTGATTTAATACTAGATACTAGAAATCTGAGATCCTGATAAACACATATTTGAATAAATACAATTATAACCATCAGGGAAACAATCCAAAGGCTCCATCTTAAGACAATTTTTGTCTAAAGATTAAATGCCACTGTGAAAGGTTACTGGTTATTGCACAACGGCTAATAAAAAGATCTCTCGCCTTTTCTCTATCTTGTTATTATTAAAGTAAAAAATAAGTTTCCTAACTCCTAATTTACATAATTCTATCATGATAAAAAAATGAAATCTAGTTTTCTATGAAGAACGTCCAAAAAATGATTGCCTAAATATGCAACTTTGAGATATATTAGACATCTTCAATTAAGAACAATGTTACCCACAACTCAGTTTGCATTTCCATAATGCTTAGCAGACTTCCAGAATATTCTATAGAAATTTTATACAGAAATAGAAATTTCATACAGAAATCTATTCTAAATGATTTCATTTAATATAGAGCTGGGAGGTTCTTCAGAGATTATTTTAACTCTCATTTTACATGTATGAAAAGCTGTTTAATGTTGGGTAAATTTTTTATACCTTGGTATTTTCCCATATTTTGAAGGGGCTAAACCAGATGATCTTTACCATCCTTCCTAGTTCTACTGTTTCTCTAAAAAAGGTAAGCCAAGTTTTACTGAAATGACTTATGAGACCACATATAAACATGAAATCGAAATGGGATGCAAAAGAAGAAAATTTATAAGGCTGAGTACCTATCTTGTGTCAAGACCTACAAACAAGTACTTCATCTAATACTCTAAAAAACCTGCATATGCTAGGTTCTTTTTTGGGGGGTAGAGGGGCTCCTAAATCTATTTGGGTTTAGATGCTGCAAAAATGCCCCATTTCTGTTTTTAAAGAAAACGCTAACCATAAGGGCCTCGACATGCATTTGTAACAACAACGCGGCTGATGATCCTAATCCAAACTGGGAAGTTAGTGCAATCAAGCTAACATTTCAAATAAATTTTAAACAAAACTTGACATCTGAATCTTGAATGCAGAGCAATAAAAATGTTAGGACCTAGAATAGGGCCTTAGAGATCACTTAGTACAACTTCCTCATTTTACAGATGAAGATGAATTACAATAAAAAAGCGTGTTCATTTTTCGCTCAAAATAGTGGCCAGAAGTAGATGTGTGGTATCCTAACTTTCAAAAATTACCTTATGATCTAATTAGAGGAAGGAACCCAATTATTTGCACAAGACATCTTTACAAGAACATCTACATGGCTAATCGTTTTTAAAAAATGATTTAATTTGCCAAGATTATTCTTACGTATCAGAAATATAGAAAGCAAACCCTGCCTAAACCCTGTCTCACGAATTAAATGAACAGTATTAAATGAAAAGTATTTTAATGCCAGAACAGTGCCTGGCCCATAATTGGTGTACAATAAACGTTTGTTCAATGAATGTGCCAACTCAAGGAAAGTACTGTCATCACTGGCAACAGAGTCCACACATTTAACTCCAATCAAGCCACTGTGAATAGAACCGCCTATGTATTACTTTAATATTCTTAAAGTACTCGATTTAAAAATAAATTGTATGCTTTAAAGGGATGCGACTTTATATGGTCATAATGGCAGCAAAGAGCCTCAGCATAATTCACCGTAGCCATTTTTGATAAGACTGCGATCCTACAGATAAGAAGTAACTCCTAAATTTAAAATTGTTACGACTCTCCAAATAATTTGGAAAGAACAACCTAAAAAGGAGACTAAACTGGGCGAACAAAAGATCTGTAGTACTCAAGTTGGCAATCAGGGAACTGAGACTTTAAGTTTAGTCTTAATCTTGTACACACAGTAACTACTGCCAAAGCTTCTGACCTCTCCCCTACCCCCCCCCCACTTTCTCCTTTTAAGCAGACGTAAAGCAGCGGGTGTACAAGACGCCTGGTTCTCAGGAATTGAATCCGACCCCAGAAGCACTGTCGCTTTGTAGCGCATCTCGCAACCTGGAGAAAGGAAATTTTCCAAGACCTAGAAACCTACAGCTATTGCGGGCGACAGAACCCCTAACGCTTCCAGTTGGCGCCGGAAGCCCCCTGACGACCCACCAGGGCCGAGGAGGGCCCGGAAATCAGCTGCCGGAGATCCGAGGAGGGGCGTGAGCGACGTGAGGCAGCCCCGCAGCCCGCGCGCCAGGGACGGAAGGAGGAGGAGGCCCGGCGCCCATTTTGTTCTGGCCTCCGCACTTCCCGCTTTCCCCCCCAACGCCGCCCCGGCCGAGCAACCTACGTGAGGCCTGCAGTTACTGGCCTTCCACGGCCCCGCATCCCCAACGTCCGCTAGGCCGCGGCGCGTGAGCTGGGCCTGCGTGGACGCCAGCCCCGCCGGCCACTCTCTAGGCCTCGCTCTGGTTCCGCGGGCCCAAAGCATGACATCCTGCCGGCGTCGCCCTGCCACCCCTCCCCGCCTCGGCCTCAGTCCCGTGGGCTCCCTCAGCTCCCCCGGCTCCAGTCCCCTCACTCCTCCTCACCCGGGCCTCACTCTCTCGGTTCCCGGGGCTGAAGCCCCTTCTCCCTTCTCGCCCGCGTCTCAGGCCACGGCCCTCGGCCTCAGCCCAGCGCCCTCAGCCCCAGTCTGCAAGCCCCTCCTGGGACGTACCCTCCGGCAAACAGATGCACCAGCGTGTCCCTCTGGCTCATTCTCTCTCCCGCATGTCCTCCGGGCGCTGAGGCGGGACGCGGATCCGGCCGCCGCGACGGCCGCAGCTTCCGCCCCGGACTGGAGCCGCACGGCGCCCCAGTGACGGCGACGGGAACTGACGGAGACGCGGCTGCAGAAGGCGACCGGCGCGGCCCTCCCCGCCGCGCTGCAGCCACGCCGCCTCCCACCCTGGCTAGGTTTCACCACCCGCGCTAGAGGGCAACTCGGCGGGAGCGGGGGCGTGAATATTCCGATCCTCCCCCCCCCCGCGATATAAACAGAAGCTACCATTGGTCCGCACTGCGTGACGTCAAGCAGCCGGCATGCCTCTTTCACGTGATCGCTAAGGGGTTTCTCAATGGAAGGGGCCGGGAGGCGGGGCTAGAGCGCGTGCCCGGAGGGTAGTGGGTCAGCAGGTCCTCGCACTTAGTTCTCCCGCCCGGAGGGCTGCACCCCGTGCCGCCTGGGCCCGCGCAGACACGGGGATTCGAACTTCACGCTCCCGGCCCCGACCACGTGAGAAACGACCTGGATGCCCGGTAAGCAAGCGGAGTTGGGACGCGAGCCTGCCCAGTCTCTGATTTACTTTTTTCAGACTATTTTCTTTAGAGCTGTTTGACATTCACAACAAAATTGAAAGGGAGGTACAGAAATTTCCCATTGGCCCCTGCTTGATTCACGTTTTAATAATTGGATCTGTGAACCAGCATTTATGCTTCCTGGTGTCAACCTCAGACAGAGTAGCACTCAGTGCATGGAAAGGCTTATACAGACACTCGTACAGAATCACAAACAACAGTACGGTGTTTACAAACAATGCTTAGTGTAGTATACTATTAGTGTAAAATAAATATTCTTTATTTTAGAAAGAATAAAGAAACTGGCATTTACTCATTTTTCTAACCAGCAAGTTTTTTCTTGTATGTATATACAAGAAGGTCAAAGACGGAGGGAAAGAAAATGTTTTATCCCTCTACAACATGATTAAATATTTTAAATTTTTGTTAATTAGTAATTATTTCTAAGGTGCAGAAGTGCAGGAAATAATATAATCTGTATTCATCACCCACAATGAACAAATGTTGATATTTCCCACCTCTTTGTTTGGTAACTTCCATTTCACCTGCAGGGTCCTCACAACACTTTCCCACCCATGTGGGGTTATCCAGGGCTCACCTTCCTTTCCTTCCAGGGCCATTTCCTTCACGAAGTCCTCCCTGATTGCCTTAGCTCTCTATGCTCATTACCTGCTCCTAAATTCCCACAAAATGTACAGACTACTTGTCACTGGCAAGTGTACATCTACTCCACAGTAAATGCTCATCTGTAAAATGGGCATAAGAATACCTACCTCACAAGGCAGTTGTGGGGACTAAACACCTTAAAATTATGTAAAGCACCACAGCAGTGCTATGTAAGTGCTACCTATGATAATTAGTAATATTATTTTACTGCATTGTATTCTTAATAGCAAAACTGGCAGCAGCTGATATTGCTTGAGCACTTACTAACATGCCAGGCTCTGATCTACAGCATTCTCTTATTAAACTCTCACAACTGCCATATGAGGCCATTGATATTATTCCCCCAATTTTTCATGAGGAGACTGAGATTTAGAATAATTGGCTTGCCCAAGATTATCCAGTTCATCCAGAAAGAGATTGGATTTGAATCCAGCAGAATCTCTCTGATCCCAGAGCTTCAGTTACTGAAGTAATAGCTGCACATTAGAGAGGGAAATTTTGAAAAAAACAGGCAAACGAAACTCCAAAAAGTAGGAATAAAAATTGACACTCTGGCCATACTACCCCCAAACCCTTGTATTAACTTTTGGTGGGGGGGGGGGTTAGTTCTATCTTTTTTTACAGCAGTTTTATTGAGGAATCTTTCACATGCCATAAAATTCACCTATGTATAGTGTACAGTTTAGTGGTTTTTCGTATATTCTGATGGTTGTAGAGCCATCACCACTACCTAATTCCAGAACACTTTCCTCACCCAAAAAGAAATCCCACACATGTTGTCAGTCACTCCCATTCTCCTCTCTCCCTATTCTCTGCCAACCACTAATCTACTTTCTATGGATTTGCCTAATCTGGACTTTTCATATAAATAGAATTATACAATATGTGGCCTTTTGTGTCTGGTTTCTTTCACTAAGCATAATGTTTTCAAGGTTCATTCATGTTGCAGCACACATCAATACTACATTCCCTTTTATGACTGAATAATAGTCTGTCATATGACTATATCACATTTTGTTTATCCATTCTCAATTGATGGCCATTTGGATTGTTTCCACTTTTTGGCTGTCATGGATAATCCTGCCATGAATATTTGTGTACAAGTTTTAGCATGCAGATACGTTTTCACTTCTCTTGGGAATATACTTGGGATTGTCATTGCTGGGTCATATGATAATTCAATGTTTAACTTTTGGAGTAACTGCCAGACTCTTTTCCAAAGTGCCTGCACCGTTTTAGATGTATTTCTTTTAAGACAATGGCTGTAGCTCCATGTATTTGGCATAGTGAATGCTGTGGTAATTACATTTAATGAAGCTTCTGAAACTGGTAAGGAGAGAGCCCAAGTTCTTATGTGGAGTAAATAATTGCTGTAAGAGCAATAGCAATTCATATTGTGACCGTTTACTTTGGAACCTCATTCAGATGGCATCGTGGAAGGAGGCTCTGCCCCCTGCACATTCCATCCGGTAGCCCCTGGGGCTGCCCACTGGGGTGTGGTTGCTGAGGCCTTCATTTTTGTGGGGATTCCAGGGTTAGTTGGCTGTCATGTTTGTTGAGGTTCCACTGTAGTGTGTCATCTGCCAGCTCTTCTATAATTTTCCTTCCTCATTGCTGTTGGCTAATGTCTTTAAGTGATTCCTTCAGGACCAGCACAAGATGAGGTTTCTTGAGCCCTTGCCCCTTAAACAAACAAGCTTCTAGGTGCTTTTCCAGAATGATATTAAGGCAGGGTGGGTGGGGCTAAATGAGCTTGCTTTAGGGTCAGGCACACCTGTACCTCTTCCAGACCCCCATTCCTACCGAGGCGGTCTTCTGGGAGCTGTAGTTTTTAACTGAATGTAGAAAGAGAAACGGATGGGGAAAGTGTGGGTGGCCACAACTGGTTGCTTGGCTCAAAACAAACAAATAAGCTCATTGTGAAGTAGAGGGGACTGCTACTTTATTTCCCGATTGGTACTAACCTCAAATTTTGATTGCTGCTGAACTGCAGGAGACAATCGCTCTAGACATGGCAGTTGAGGAGGAGGGAACGATTGGAGGTGGGGATTGGTTTGGCATGCACTCCTGCACTCCACACCTCAGGAACGTTATTGCATGTGGATCGGCTGCTTTTGGAAGACTTGCCCAGAAGAAGAGGTGTTTCGTTTTCACAAGCCAAAGATATACCAAAGTACAGAGGGCTGCTGTATTTGCAGAGCTAAATCCTCCAGTTCTCGATTCACTGACAGTAAACTCTATGAAAAGGACTTCCAGAGCTGCTTTTGGTTACATGAGACTTGATCAGGAGACACCTGTAATGCCCGTGTCCTGCTGTGAAAAGATGGAAGAAATTACCATCAGGATCAAAAAAAAAACAAAAAACGAAACTGGAATCACGTGGTAGATGCAAGGGCAGGACCCAGTCTAAAGACTACACTGAAACCAGAGAAAGTGAAAACTCTATCTGGGAACAGGATAAAAAGCAACCAGATCAGCAAACTGCCAAAGGAATTTAAACGTCGTAATTCTGATGCTCACAGTACCACCTCAAGTGCCTTTCCAGCTCAATCTCCTTGTTATAGTAACCAGTCAGATGATGGCTCAGATAGAGACGGATTCTGGCTCTAACAGTGTTTTCCATTTTGGATCTCACATACTGGATAAGCCAGAAAATATGCTGTGGCATTATCTATAAAGGCTGTCTTGGGGAAGTCCTCATCTGACACACATCCATTCAAGTCTTGCTGCAGCAATAAGAAAGCAGCTGCTGAGAAGCCTGAGGCACAGGGGCCAGAGCCTCTGCCCATCTCCACTCATGCGTGGTGACTGAGGTTTATGTAGAAAGGAAACAAAAAACAATTTAAATTTTGGAAAACAAAACAACAAAATGACCTTCCTATTTTTAACTTGGATACCTGCTATTCTGCCAAATGACGATTTCTAGAATAGTTTTTTTTTTAATAGAGTTTTTTTTAAATTTATTTATTTTATTTATCTGTTTTTGGCTGCGTTGGGTCTTGGTTGCTGTGTGCGGGCTTCTCATTGCAGTGGTTTCTCTTGCGGAGCAGAGGCTCGCATGGACTTAGTTGCTCCGCGGCATGTGGAATCTTCCCGGACCAGGGCTCGAACCCGTGTCCCCTGCCTTGGCAGGCGGATTCTTAACCACTGCGCCACCAGGGAAGCCCTTAGGATAGTTTTGAGTGGGTTATTTTTCCTTCAGTTCCACAAACTCTGAAGCCAATGTCTAGCTTACTAAAAGAAAAAAAAAAAGTGTACATAATATCAGGTTGGCCAAAACGTTCGTTTGGGTTTTTTCTGTACGATGTCAGGGAAAAACCCAAATGAACCTTTTGGCCAACCCAATATTTAAGATGCTGAATATTTCATAGGAAAGCTGAATGCAGCTGTAAAGTGCTTTTAAGTCTTTTTTAAAAATCCCCTTGGGCTTTCCTAGTATCCATTTATTAAAAAAAAAAAAAAATCCCCTTCTAATGAATGAAATTAGGGGAATTTCAGGGGACAGAGATGGGATTTGTTGTATGATAAATGTATGTAGTTTTAGTCTTTCTATATTCAGAAGCAGTGGTTAGAGCATTTTTTTAAGATGGCTGTCTATACTTGTTTTCCTTCGTTATAATAAATTTGTCATAACAAAGTAAACATGGACTTGCCCCTGTAGGTAGTTGTTAATACCTTTGAAATATTAAGGTCTTGCCAAGGTTCTGATGATTCAAACCTGTACTACTGAATATTAAGCAGGACAGACTAAGCTCTCTGGTGCGAATATCTTGAAAGAGTAATTTCTAAATATACAGAGGTAACTTGACTGTATATGTTGCATCCTGTGTCACCTCCCTCCATATTGATGTTTGATAAAGATTTTAATTTATATGAAACTTCTAAAGCGGAAGTTCCTCTTGGGGAAATGTCAAGTCTTTAGGATAAGCAGTCTTA